TAAACTTACTTCCTTCTGGCTAAGTGGGGTCTGCTTAACCATCTCTTTCTGCAGGGCTCAGATCACTGAGTCCCATTTAATGAGACTTTGCCATTTTCTCTAGATTCAGGTTCTTTCTCCTGACATTCCTGTCATCTCTACCCATAGTTCTAAGTCAAACTGAAGCCCAGTCATCCAATCAGATTCTTATTGGTTACCATGCCTTCTAGAAACTGGTGTGGGTGTGTCCTGCCCTATTCAGATTTAATTTTATTACCTAATATTTATTGATCCATTTTATGTGCCAGATGCTAGTCATTATTTCAGGGACTTCAGCCTCAGAACAGACCTGGGATTCTAGTATATCACTCTCTCTTTCTTACAGATACATAAACCTGGGCTGAGATTGCTTGACTTGTTCAGCCTAGGATGTTTCAGAAATAAGGCTAGAATATATGTTGGTCTGATCCCAGATCCGGCCCGTCTTCCATCTCATTGGTTCATATTCCTGACCCTTTGTCCCCATTTCCTCTGCTGCTGCCCTTAGAGCTGATGCAGTTGATGCAGTGAGTGTTGAAGGGCCTCCTGTTTGGTCTCCTCTCCTCTGGACTCTCTCCTTACCTCTGGGTGAACCCTGCCAGACTTATGGTACAATGAGGTAGACAGTAGTTGACTGCTGCACCACACAAGTGTGACTTAAAATCCCATCATCTTCATTCGCCTGCTTCTGTGATCTTGGTTTAACCCACTTGACCTCCCTAAGTCCACATTTCCTCATGCAAAAATAAGAATTACAATAGCATCTGTATCCAAAGAGTTTTCGTTTTGAATGTTTAATGAGATAATAAAGTTCAAATCCTTGGCACAGTGCCTGGCACCTGGCAAAGGCTCCGTACAGATTAACCGTGGCTACATCATTCTGTCCAGAAGGAATCCTCCATTGTGCTTCCCCCTTGCCTAATGCCATGGCCCACAAGGGGCACTCAGCACTCTCCACAACTGGTCCTGACTTCCGTTTCATCTGATCACCTTGTCTTCTAACTCGCTGGTCTACTTCCCAGTCTCTCATTTCCTGACCTCACTGTGGAGAGTAGGGAAAGGAGCAGATGTTCTAGAGTCAGGCAGGCCTGGGTTTGCAGGTCAGCTTTGTCCATCCCCAGCTCTGTGAGCTTGAGCAGGTTTTTTAAACTCTGTGGGTCTCAGTTTCCTCATTCAGAGCATGAAGATAAGGTTGTAGTTTGGATCACACGTAGGAAAAATCATACTAAGAGGTGCTTAATGCTCTTACCTATGTTATTGAAGAAGTCGCTGCTCCAACCATCCTGCCAGTCTCCCCACCTGGCCTGCCATCTTTCGTTCTATTTCTCTCAGTCCTGGGGAGCCCTCCTTCCCATGAGAAAGTTTCCTTGCTCTTCCACCTTCTTTTGGATTTGCCCTGTGGAATTCCTGTAGTGCTTTATAACTGAAATAACACTGACACCTTTGTTTTGCTCAGTTCTTCATGGTTTTCACAGTTCTTTCCAAAATCACTATAATTAATTTGTACAACTCTAGTAGGTAGTCCAGTCTTGTAGCTATCATCCCTGTTTTTCAGAAGAATGAGGTGCTGGACATGTAGCTCAATAGGACCATACTTGCATAGCCTGCAGGAGGCCCTGGATTCAAATCCCAGCACTGTGGTTGGGAGTGGGGGACTGAAGCCCTAAGAGGTTGCAGGACTGATTCATGGTCACAAACGGAGGCCTGGAGCCAAGTCTTCTGCCCTTAAGTCACCGTGCCTCTCTCCCCTGTACCATTTTGCCCCTGAGTGACTGCCACTCACCTGTCTTCAATACCTATTCCAGTGTTACAGTTATTTTCCGTTTGTGCCTACTTTGTCCCCTCCAGGGAAATGCAGTCTTATGGCTCCCCCAGTCAAGTGCTTCGCAAGCTATTTGGCTGATGTCATTAAATGTGTCGAAATTTGAATTTATGTGCAAAGTCATTGCAGGAAACTAACAATTGTGTTGGCTAAGAAGGCTGAACTGGTACAGTGAAATTTTATTCCAGAGTAAGAACTTTAAAGACAGATCCTACTGTTATACCTACTTCTTTATACTCATGCCTTGGACTTTGATGCTTTGGGTTTAGAGAGTTTGGCATTAGCTACTTTATCCTCATGGTCTGCATTCTTGTTCTACTATATCCCTACGCTACATGCTGGATTGTAATTAATCTGCTTATCCATCTACTTCCCCCACCATCACACTGTGAGTCCCCTCAGGGTGGGTGCCATATCCTGTTCCTGCCAGTGTCTATGGCCTGCTACTGTGCTTGGCACGTAGCTAATGGTACTTGAACAAATAACCCAGAAATGTGCACCTGGATTTCCCTTGTATCCCCCTATGAGTGTACTTATCTCCATTCTCTTAATATGGTCCATATTATACATATTTCTTACCTCTTATACTGAATTAAGGTCAAGTCTCATGTTTTGCTCATTTCTGAAAGCCTTCCTAACAATCATGAACAAAAGGAGCCAGAATTTTGAGTGCCTATTTTGTGCCGGTAGTGATTTTACATATATTATCTCATTTTAAAAGTAATTTAATTTAATTCTCATAATAGGTCAATAAGATTCACATTATCATCCCTGAATTACAAAAGAGAGAGCTGAAAGTCAGAGGAAAAAAAGTAATTGAATTTGACTGAATTTATACAGTTAAAAGTGTCAGTGCTAGGACTTGAGTCTCTGTCTGCTGCTCTAAGAACAATGCCTTTCTTTTATCATGTTGTCCTTCATTTTTATTTTGGTTTGGTTTGGTTTTGAGGTACTAGGAATGGAACCCAGGCTCTCTCATATGCTAGGCAAGTGCTCTACGGCCTTTTATTTCTTAACAGCATACCGGATAGTTGGATTCTTTACCTCAGCAGATGTCAGGAACTCTGCTGAACTGAGACTTAAATTTAATCTCATTGAGTCAAATCTGTACAAGTCTCCTCCCCAATGCTTCAGGCGCATATACTGCCCCTTCCCAATTGGTCGCCTGGAAATGCTTCTGCAAACAGGTGCTGAGTGCTTACAGTGCATCAGGTACAGCGCTGAAGACAGACACCCCCACAGTATAAGGGGACAACAGACTGACAGTGATAGGTAATGTGATCTATGCAGTGAGGAGACAGGGAACACGAGCTTAATCAGCCTAGGGTGGTCTCATGAGGCTTCTGAGTAAATCATGAAGGATGACTGAAAGCCAGCCAAGCCAACAAAGAGGAGAGCACCATGGGAACAGCATATGCTGAGTCACAGAGGTTCAGAATTGCCGCAGGACAGTCTGGAATAAGGAGGTATTTCAGTGGAACAGAGCAGAGGGTGCAAGAGGTGCTACAACTGGTCGCCTTGTGTTCACATCATCAACCAAAGGTCACAACAAGCTACCCCCACTTGCCCCTACACAAGTATGCTCTCAGCTTAGGCTGACAGCTAAGACAGTCTACCCACCCAGGAAATGAGCTAGAGAAATAGCTGGCAGCATCTCCATCTATCTTTAGGGAGATGAGGCGTAAACATGGAGTTTGCATTTCCCTGATGTGTAGGAAATAATGAGCAAGCAATCGGGCAGACACACATAGTGATGTCATTTGCCTGCATTAGGATGTGACTATCCTCAGTAGGCAGGAGGGAGTAGCCAGGCTTTGTACCTATATTCTTGCTGTGCTCCTGGAGCAGAAGGCCCAGAGGGTAGCAATGGCAACTGTCCATTGGTCCAAATAGGACCAAAGCCTATTTGGAATCTTTTTTGTAGATGGTGTGATGGAGTGAAGCATTCTGTCCACACTGGGCCACGGGTTGGTATACCAAACATGTTAGCTGGGTTCACCCAATTCAAATGTTCTCCTTTGCTGTGCCTAAAAATGTTCTTTAACTTGAGACTTTGTAAAACCAAAGAATGGCTGAAAATTGAGTAAATCCTATAATGAACTGTATGTGACTTACCATTCTTCTTTTAGCCAGTTAATAAGAAATATGGATGGGTCTACATTCACTGCATATAAAAATAAGTCCAGTATGGTGCTGGTGTTGACTTTGGCAAAATCTTCAAGTCAGGTTCTATCTTGGTCATGCCTGGGTCTTACAGTGTCTCCCCATGCTCTCATGTTGCACACTCATTCCCACTTATTATCTCGCTACTGCTACCAACCCACATATCACCACAAACCACTGTGGACTGGACCCTTCCACATATCTGAGCTGGCTATCCCACCCTGCAAGTATAGCTAGGCTGCCTGTCCCTCACACTGGATTGTACATAAAAGTCAGCTGAAGCGAGCTATGTTTAGTACTGGGAATTGCCTAAGCCTGTTCCCCACACACCACGTCGTTTTTGAGCTTTGCTTACCTCCCAGCCCTCCATTCCAATTTGGCTCCCTCTAATGCATTCTTCACACTGCTGCCTGAATGATTTATCTAAAATTCAAATGCAATCATGTCACTTCTCTGCTCAGAACCGTTCAGTGGTTTTCAGATCCTTTCAAATGACATCCAAACTTCTGAAGCATTGAGAGCCAGGCCACTCATGAGCAGGCTCCTCACCACCTCCCTGGCATCATCTCCTAACTCTCCCCTTGACAGCTTGTGACACAGCAAGGCTGAATTACTGATGACTCAAACCCACAGTATTATTTAATGTTTTTGACCCTACCAGAAATGGCATTCCTTCCAAGTTCTACCTTACAAATCTGATCAGCCTTTAAAAATTCTCTCAATTGTCCCCTTCTCTGAGACCCTTGCAGACTGAAGGCATTCATAGGCTGCTTCTGTGTCTTGTTCAGGCATCTGCTGTTGGCAATGTTGCAAATTCCCAAGATTTATTGTTAACGGAGACTCTGCCTTATCACTGAATAATGCTGGGCCTAAGACAGAAAGAATAGCTTCTTGCTCCTGGTTGAGTCATTGTCCGGTTACCCCTCCTCTCCATTATTTAAGGAGCTTGTTTCAGCCACAGCTCCACTGATACCTGCCTCTTGATTGACTTTCCCAGGTCGGGCCAATCATTGGTCTGCAATCATTGGTGGATCCCACTCTAAGAATTATGTGCTGTGGGAGTATGGAGGATACGCCAGTGAAGGTGTTAAACAAGTTGCCGAATTGGGCTCGCCAGTGAAAATGGAGGAAGAAATTCGACAACAGGTAAGAACGAAATTGGAGAATAACCAAAACCCAGAAACACCAGCATAGGCATCAAACAAGTTTCAGAATTGGGCCCACCAGTAAAAAAGGAGGGAGAAATTCAGCAACAGGAATGAGCAGTCATAGATTAGCCAAAACCCAGAAATGCAGTCAAAACGTCCCTTGGGTTTGTTTTCAGGAGCTTGAAACTTGCATTGCAATGTTGTGGGAGAAAACCTGTTTGCTGAGTTTGAGGGCTCCTGTTAAGTAGAGCATGGGACACAAATGCCCATTATGATGTCTCAGATTTTTCCTGACTGGATCCATGTGTTCTTTGACTTATGCTAAATGCTGCTGCCGTGGCCCTGTTGTTGAATGCCATGTCTCTTATCTCCTGAGAGTTGACACAGCGATTTATGGTTTTCTTACTATAATCCTTGGGGGTGGAGAATGATACTCAAGCTGTCTAAGCCAAATTGCCATTTCCGAAAGTAACCATTTATGTATTGGCACAAGCTTTTTGCAGCTCTGTCTTGAGGTGTTTGATAAATTAGCCAGTCATTAGTCATTATCACCATGGCCTGAAGCGTCCTTTGTGCGCCTCCTCTTGTGGGCCCAGGAGCTGTCCTGTTGTCTAAGCCCCATACCACTGACAGATAAGGGAGGAAAGCCCCATACTTCTTGTCAATTTGTTCAGCTAACATTGTCATTGTCCTTCATCAAAAGCCTGATCTGATTGGTACCAGAGAGGCTACTGAGAGGATCTTGGCAGAAGAGCTCCAAGTTTTCAATGGTGGTTTGCTGTAGAGAGGCCCCCATATGGCATTAGCTGTCACTACCCACAAAAACCTCTCTGGCCTGAGAGAGCTCAGGGCAGCCAGGCCCCATTGCCCACTAGGTGTTCTTGAAGGAAGAAGACTGTGCTTGGGGTGTGGTCCTGTCACAGCCCTCTTTGTACTTCTGTCCCACATCTCCTGAGACGATGGATGCCAGATACATGGTTGCTCAAGTGTCCCGCTGTGTGTGCTGAGGGACCTGAGCAGTATGACAGGGCGAGCATGGCCAGAGCCCCCAGTGCTTCCTTTAGAAGCTGCCATCTGGACTACAAGCTCCTTCAGATCTTACCAAACTGAAGGCACCAAAAGTCACCTTGATCCCTGAGGAATCCTTTGGGATCAGAGTTGGAAAAAATGTCCAAGAACAAGCTTATATTTCTTAGTAATTTCATTTCAAATCTCTTTCCTGGAAAAAATAAACATTTGACCAGATGTTTTAAGATTACGTGCTATCTAACTACTTGGTTAGCCTTCTAACTTCCCTATTCTTCTGATGCTGGCTGCCATGCCTCGTCAGTGACATCACTTCCTCAAGCCATAACACTCATGGAGGCTCCACATTGGTGCTAGTCTGCCTGGCCTGTCCTCATCCTCACGGTCCACATTCCTGATTCTCAGACATGGAATTGTGACCTACAGGCTTGTCTGGCACTGTGCTGTGGGATGTTGAAAGCCATTTATTACCAATAATAGTAGAAAAATTAAAGTTTGCAAATAAATTTGATCAAGGTCATGGGCATCTTCATAATAATGGCAGTGTCACTTGTTGGCTTTCTTGAGAGGTCTCCAGAGAGGAGAGAAGCATGCAGAAATCTTATACAATTGGGATTGTACTGTACCAGTGGACACTCTCTGTCATATATCATAACAGTATAATGGTTGACAACTCATCCATGGGACCCCAGCCTTTGAATATCCCTCTTAGGAAAAATGTTCTTTGCTTGGTGTGATCCTAACCAGAACACCTGGGACTGTGCCAATGTCTGCCTGTCCCAGCTGGCTAATGTTCCTGACATAAAGTCATCATCATAAACTCAATTATAGGTTCTGCACATAGGAAAGGGCAAAGTCAGTGTCTGTCACTACCCTTCAGGCCCTCTGAGTGCTGGACATCTATTGTTAGCTCCCCTCGTATTAGGGCTGAGAGGGCCATTTTATTATTATCCCAGTTCTGCATATAAAGAAACCAGGGTATGGTCAATCTCAGAAAATTCCAGGACTTCAAGCCAAGTCTGTCTGGCTCCAAGACACATCTACAGTACAGAATCTTCTCTGCAAATGAAGAATTTGCAGGGCCCAGTGCAGACCTGGAGCCCTTTGTTCAACACTTGTAAAAAATTTCAACATGATGATGCTGTGAATTTCACAGCATGGGAACCCATGAGACTGCACCGGTCACCCTGCCCACAAATCTAGCTGTGCCTGTGCACCCTCCCTGCCCCACACTGCTGCCCTACGGAGACCTTCCTTCCGTCAGCTTCACACTGGGGCCCCTGCAAGCAGTCTTCCCCAGCTCTGCAAATGTCAGTCAGGGTAATTTCAAGGTCCCTTTGCTTCCAAACAATCCATGGCTCTAAATATTGTTCCCTGTAAGCACACAACTTATATTTTTCTGTAAGTCAGGTAAGAAACAACATGAAAGGGAACACAAATATGAATCGTCCTAGAATATAAAAGTGTCCTCTGAATAACTGGGGGACTTGTTTGAAAACATCTACAAACCAGCAGCGTCCTCAGCCCTTAATACCTTTTACCCCTCCAATCGCTCTATCAAAGAACTCAAACCCAACCATGATAAAAATAAAAAGCCCTTTCAACACCCCCCACAAAAGACATTTAAATGATTACCAGCATTCCCTTATTATAGACTTATCGCTCATGGCAAGTTTTAAGGGCCTTAAAAACCACAATAGGCATTGTTGGAGGTAAATTTTATGCTAATGGTTTTCAAACACAAATGAATAAAAATACTAATCCCATTAGTAGTGGAAAATTATAATACCATTGAATAGAAATTTTCATGTCACTAGAAGTGCAAAGCACTAAGAAAAATTAATGAAATATTAGAGCACAGTTACTGGCAGTAAGATCCCAGTGGCTGGAGAGAGCCGGGAGAGGCCTGATATTCACTCCCTCTTAGGGAAACAGAGGTAAATGCTTCTTGGGGAACCTGGGAGTAAGAGAGATAGAGCTGTGGCCAGCCTGGCAGGTCATGGATGAGTAATGCAAGGCAGGAGGAGGCAGGAGGGCGTGGTAGGTCACACATGTAGGTCAAGGTGAGAATAGAAGGTGAACTGATGCGTCCTTGTTGCTGTGAAAAACCTTCATCCCGCTAAGACCACTTGTTCTTCAGCAAGCATGCACTTAGAGCATGTTTACTAGGTGTCTGGTTCCCTGCTGGATCTGGCCCAAAGATAGTGCCCCACTCACCCTGTTATTCATGCTGGAAACCTAGGCAACCCTTGATTCTCCCTGTGCACCCTCCCTTCCCTTTTAAATCCATCCACCTCAATCCACCTTCATCCCCACCTGCCTGCTCTTCTAACCACACCCACCTCTGGCCTAAATTCCTGCAGCAGCCTGCTGACTTCCCTGCCCCCAATATTCTTACTGTTATCCTCACTGGCCCCCCCCGCCATCTTGATAAAACACAAATCAGATCATACCACTCCCCGTGTGCAATGGCTCCTCTCAGACCCAAACATAAAATCCAAATTCTGTATCATGTTCTCTCGGCTGAGAATATCTTCCAGCTCCCCTTCAATTGGTAAACTCCTACTCATCCTTCAGGACTGTGACAGTCCTGGAATGTGCCATTCTGGACTTTGATACCAGTTGTACCCTTTGGTGGCAAGACCCCTCTTCCTGGTCCTTTCAGCTAATAGCTGCTAGGGTGGCTCATGCCTTAGCTCAAATGTTAGCTCCTCTGGGAAGGCTGGGTCTGGCTTGCTTTCTCTGGATTCTGGAAGTTCTTGTGCTGTCTCTTTCCTAGGCTGACTCAACTCAGTTTGTCATCTTCTCCGTCTCCACTAGACTGTCCAGCCCTGAGAAACAGCCACCTTGTTAGTTTTTCGCACTGTAGGAGTCTCCTTTCCAAACCCACTTCTGCTGCTTTTCATGCTATCCTGTTCATTATTATGGCTGCTTTTTCTCCTAACTAATTTTAAACATGTCCTGTTGTCTCTTTCAAATTATTCTCTTGCCACAGGGTCTTAAGGACTTCTTGTTTTCAATGATCTCTCTCTCTCTCTCTCTCTCTCTCTCTCTCTCTCTCTGGTTTTGAATTGTTTATTCATCTTCATCTTAAGGTGGTCTTTCTTTTTTCCTATGGGAAATACTCAGGTGACAGGACCCTCACAGAGGGACTGTCTTTTCTTCTCCTGGTCTCACCTGAGTTTGTGTCATCTCTCAGCCTGGGATCATCTACAGCACAGCTGGTGGATGCCCAGACTGCACTCACTCATGGGAGAGGCTGCAAGTCCACCGAATGAAGGGCACCTGGGCAGAGGGTGGGCTTCCTTGCCATGTCCCTGAATGATTGAGGGACAGATTTCTTGTCCCCTGTTCATAAACACAGCAGTACTGTACTTCAGAGCACCCAGTTTCGTGCCAAGATCCTTTCCTGTGTGTCATTTCCCACAACTCAAGACATCCTCTTCTCCCATTCAGGGCTTAGGAACTTTCACCTCCATTGCTGGGGCCCAGATCCCGGTTGGGACCCTGACAGCTCACTATATACCAGCTCCTGCCTACTGTGCTGGTGAGACTTTTGTCCTCATTTCTGGAATCTGGACAATTTCCCCAAAGCCAATTGTATAGTTTTAGAAATGTTTTTTGTTATATTTTGTCAAGCATCTCCATGTGTGTGTAGCAGAAGGGAGAACCTTTTGCTTTAGTTCACTCCTCTATGTGCTCAGGTGTCCACTTAATATCTCTAGCACCTAACAAATGTCTGAATTGATTTTTGTCAGGAGAGGAACCATGAATGTCTCACCCAAAAAACCATGAGCTTTGACTATCCACCCATTCATGAAAATGTGCTAGAGAAACCACTTCAGCTTTCACATTTCTCTGAATTCCAGGCTGCCTGGGCCATATGAGGGCAGTAACTACAGGCATCGATTGGCTCATCTTCAGAAGGCCCTGCGTGGGTGGATGGCTTCAGCAGCCAACAGAATTTTCAGG